ATCAGCAACTTGGAGCAATTTTGACAGTGGTCGTCACAACTTTTGTGTAAACCTCTTCTCAAAAAGGAACAAATAGACACGATTTGGCAAATATCCTTGGGATGGGAAGTGGAGATGTGTTTTTGTGGGGTTAAATCCGTCCATGCGGAGACTTGCAAGAAGTCACCATTTTTGTTTAAAAAAATAAATTATAACAATTGAATGAATGGACAGATGAGAATTGTTCCTTTACATTCTGAATTTGAGTTGTATTTCGAGAAGAAATTGCCTAGGAATGTGCTTGCAACATTTAACGGGATAAATTAATTTTCAACATATTTTATATATTTTTACTTATTTTATTTTTATACTAACATATTTTTAATCATATTTTGACCATACTACTTTTCAGCATTGGAGTTATCTTTGAACTTACTCAACTCCACAGGTTGCATGGCTTACCATTTCCTTTTTGATCGCGGTACAGAGCGATTTGGCGCGCCACTATTTTTCTTCCATAGTTCACCAATTCACAGACCGGACATTTGCACGCTTTGAACGGACAATTGCGTTTGTGCTGCTTGACCGGCAGCAGACGACCGTGAGCCCGGCACTTTCGGCACATGTAGGAAGACCGAGAGAGACCAACACCATTGGTGAATTCGGTTCCACCACACTCTCCTCCCCCGCCGCTGTTCCCACCACCGCCACTTCCCCTTCCCCCGCCAACACAAGCACCACCACCTCTGACAGCGCCACTGTAACGGCCATTGCCACTGTTGTTGCCATCGCCACCGCCACCACATGCAGCGCCAAAGGTATCGGAAACACCGACACTGCCGCTACGGCTACTACTACACTCGCTGGTGGTCCCACCACCACCACTGCTATCACGGACGCTGTCCGCATCATTATCCACATCCAAGTCTTCCTCGGGCACAAATCCCATATCGTTGCCATGTTCACCCATTTTGTTTATACAATCTCCGTTGCGACTGTCGATGGCAGTGGCAAATGTAGTGCTCTTACTCTCGAGATTATTGGCGTCAGTGTAGGCGTCTGCAAAGTCATGGTAATCATCATGTCGGCCATGAGGGAGTATGGCCTGGCCGGAGGGCAGATGATGGTGGGCCAGGCAAGAGGCCCTCTTTACATGACTCGTGGATGTCTCCTCGAGGCAGTCCGAAATCGCAGATGGGGCCGCCGGCTGACCCAGTGAATGAGGCATGAAGCACTGACGGAAGCCGCTACAGTCTAAGCCATGAGGTGTCGGGGAAACTGACTGGGAAACGTAGGGAACGAACGAGAAAGGTGAGTCGAGTGAAGATGAAGTGGGGCATGACTGATGTCGATGCAAGATGAGAGGAGATGCAATGTCGAGTGGAAGGGAATGAGGAATCGGAGCGGAAAAAGGGAGGGGAAGAGGAAATGGAGCGAGGAGGGGTGAGGCATCTGGAAATAGGGATGAACGATTGGATAAATGCATCGACTTTTGATGGGTCCTAACCTCTGATATGGGTCCGGGGCCACAGATGCTCTTCGTTGCTTGCCTACGAAATTGCTCAGTGCTATGACTACAAGATCCTCTTGGGGATTCTCTTTCGACATCACAGTTGAGCGTAGTCCGATTCCGTCTGGTGTTGGGCCTGCTTTTCACTGGCGCACTTATCACATCCAAGCTGCCGAGGAAGTCTATGTTGCTTGTAGCGGTAGAATTGGCGCTGGTGCTGCAGAAGCCGATTCTGGGTGTCGGTATTTCTTTCCTAATCAAGACTTTCGACTGTCTCTCCGTCCCCTCGGACAACTTGAAGTCGCATTGGTCTTCTGACGAGGGTTGCACATCAACTCGCAGCGGTCCTTGTGCTCCGGACGTCGATATACAAACAGACGAGGCTGGTGATGTTGACGTCGATGGAAAGGAGTGAAGAGGAAACGGATTCTCGAATGTGGTCACCGCAAGAGGATGCTGTTTATCTGGCCAAGGCGGAGAAGTAGTGTAGCCATGCGCAAGAGTTGTGTTTGTGGCCTCGTGCTCCGATGTAATGGGTTGGTTGTTAGGATGAGGGAGTGCAGACGGTTGAGCAAGTGAGGATGAAGGCAATTTTGGGCCCATTGCAACGGAGATCTTGGGCGTGGATGAGTAAATCGGGGACACAGCATAAGTCATGCTGGGCAGAGTCGGCGGAGGTATGGCAAAAGTGGAGCTGACGAAGTATCTTGACCATGGCTCCGGCTCAGAGGCAACTTCGGGCTCCGAGCATAAAGTATCTGCAAACAGGTGAGTGGCTGACTTCGTCAGATTATTACTGAAACGAAATAGAAAAGGGAAGGTGATGTAACGAGATTAGCAAGATTAAATGAAATAATTTATTGCGATGTTTAGATGAAGGTCAGCTTTATTTCGTTTGGATTGGAAAATAAAAGGATCGTAGATCAGTATCACCATAACTCCTCATCTATTGGACATTCGTTCGAATCCTTCACCGTCGAGGTCACCATAGTCATAGGACGATTGCATGATTAGTTTCCGTCTGTGATGTTTGAGACCAATCCGAGGTATGAAAGCACTCAGGAGGACACTCGATTATAGTGGAAAATAGGAACACATGTCACTTGCACTAGTTACATCTTGATTGGGAATAATTAATGGTATATGCAACCAATGACGCTTGAGTAACGTGAAGGTGTGTACATGCGTGTGAAAGTGTGTAGTAGACGACGTTCAGTTTCGACAGATCCCTTGAGATAACATTTCATTTCCTGTGAAAATGGTGGAATCTGATGATCCAAACAATCTCACATGAGACTAAAGCCCCTACAACAATTGAATAAATGAG